TCAAGTGGAAAATCTTTTTTAATGAGAAGTGCACAAAACACAGTAAATAGCGATTAGACTTACTTTTAACAGCTTCCACATGTTTACTGTGTTTATGAGGGGTGTGACTGAGGAAGAAGCGTGTGTGTATGTGTGTGTGGTGTGGTGGAGGGATTGGCTGGAGGAAGAGACCACCTAAATTTTTTTTACCCACTTTACTTTATCCCTAATATATAATTTCCATGGGTGACTAACACTGTTAAAACAGCCTTAAAGTACTTTTGGAAATGTCATAAAGATCAGTTTAAAACATTTGTAACAAAATCTGCAGTATTTTTTCTGATATCAATGGTTAGTGTGTTCTTCGAGTAAAATTTGTAACTGCCTGCCAAAAAAACAAGTGCGGTAGTTTACTTACGGAAACGGCTGATATCACTGAAGATAGGACGGACAAGTCCAACAAGTTGGATGACTTGATATGTTCATTACGTGACTCCAGCTTCCAAGTGGCTTTTTGACACTTTCAGCTGATTATTTATATTCAAGGATTCAAGGTTCTTTATTTGTCATACGCGCTGCATGTGGTGCATGTGGTGGAACGAAATTGTGTACACGGGGTCCCAGTTACATCCATCAAAAGAATTAATGTGTAAAAGAAAGACAGTAATAAGATCTAAGATATGAACTAAGAAAAACATCAACTAATAATACACTAAGCACTAACAGCATAAAAACAATATGCTGAACAGCAGCACGAACATGAGTCTGTCTGAGCAGATGACACGCATGAACACAGCAACATGAAACAGATCAGCAGTAACATGATGTGATTTTTCACAGTGATTATTCTGGTTAGAGATTCATGAGTCTAACAGCCTCAGTGTAGAAGCTGTTCCTCAGTCTAGTGGTTCTACACTTAATGCTCCTCAACCTCCTGCCTGAGGGAAGCGGGGCAAAAAGGGTGTGTGCTGGGTGAGTGGGGTCCTTCATGATGCAGGTGGCTCTCTTCCTGCATCTGGAGGTGTAGATGTCTGTGATGGTGGTGAGGCTGACTCCAACAGACTTCTGTGCAGCCTTCACCACTCTGCAGAGCTTTTCTTTCTGCAGCTGTGCAGCTTCCATGCCACACGTTGATGCTGGAGCACAGGACGCTCTTCGCTGCACACCTGTAGGTGTGTGACTGCATTTAAGAATTGTATGTCAATATGAACCTAGAGAACTGCTGGGCCACACTCTTTCAAATGGCACCATTTGATTTAATTCAGGTTAACCGTTTTATGTTTGATTTCTTAGTTTGCATTGAGTACCTTTAATGGCTCGTGAGGCTGATGGTCTTTTTTGGTTCATCGGCTTTCAGAATAGCTGTGAAGGGGAAAAAGGTAAACCGTGTTCTTCTGTCTCCTCAACGACAAACAGTCCAATTGTCCTGTCATCTGTTACATAACCAACTCCTCTGTCTGTCCCTGATTCAGTTCTTTTCTGTCTTGACTGTCATCAGGATTATTGTTGCCGGAAATCTCGAGCATTATGTGTGGAGCCAAATCGTCAGGTGGCTCCACATCTCAGACTCTGGATTACCACTCCCTTTGTTACATCTCACACTAATTCTTCCAGCTGATCATAGAGCGTTCCTTTTTCAATCACCATGTTATAGACACTTAGAACAAAGCAGAATAATCAGTAGATTCCTTCTTTGTTCTTTCACGGAGGTCCACCCTCTCCGGTAATGCATGTTGTAAACTCTACTGCTAGATGCCTGATGTGCTTTTAATGGATGTTGGCGAAGCATCACTTAAGTTAATTGCAGATCATTGAGATAATTTTAGTTATTTAGCAAATGCAAGCTTTCCTAAGTGTTGTGAGTGAAGGGGAATTTGCCTGAAGACAGAGGGGTGGTTAGCCTCAAACACAGCCCTGTGCAAGGGGACGACCTTTATGGGATTTACAGATAGTAATGACGATGATGATGAGGTGTCGGTGCTGATGATTGTTTTAGTGTGCTGAAGTGTTAGATTTCAAACAGGGATAATGCTCCGGTGAGGTTTAGTTTGGAGACTGGCTGCCACCTGTTAAATAATATGCTATCCATTTGTTTCTTCAGTCTTTGTAACAATGCCAATTAAAGCAGAAACATGGCAGCTGCGTTTACGAAAGCAGCCATGAGCTGTGGCGTTTTATGGCACGACCTGGACAATGACCACAGTTCAATATCAAACTGAATCAGCCAAGAATTCCTTAAAGGAACGCAGTGTTTAGGCTGAGATAATCTTAAATTGAGAAATTATGTCGTATGTCTGTGAGTTCAAGAAATACAGCTTTAAGTCAGAAAACAACTTATGTTATTTAAAACACTATTATTATGAGGGCATCTTGAGTCATAGCTGTCAGAAAAGTAGGAAGAATTAAACCTTTGAAACGCACCGTTGCTTGGCAAAATTCTCATTATAAGACTATAATACATGAACCTTGCAAAGTTTTTTTTCAAATGTGTTGCAAGAGCAAAAATAAATTGCCTAACATCTTGCATGCCAGAATTTTAAACAAAGATTTTGCACAATCTGCTAGCACTCAAGAGTATGTGATGAGGATGACCCCCAGCTACTGTCACATCACGATTTAGACCAATATCTGTACAACTGACAGAGTTTCAGCCATTTTTGTGTTTCAATAGCTGTGGTGGCCATCTTGAATTGAATGGATTCCAAAATGTAATGAGTTGTAGATGTCCGATGAAGTCATCCTGAGAGATTCATTAAAATACATCTACATCTTTCACGAGATATTCTGCTAACAAACACACACATGGGAAAATATACAAACAGGCAATCCATGATATATATATATATATATATATATATATATATGTCTGTGCTTCACTAGAAATATGTCTGCAGATGTGTTCTGGATATAAATGGCAGGCTGCATTCTTTCTACACAAAACTTCACTTTCTAGACTTATTTGCAGGTCCTCTCCAAACTTTTTTTGAAGACCTTCCTGCCAGTTAAAGAGCCAATGTATCCATCAGGCCAATTATTTTTTACTTTCCCATCCAGCTGTTGCCTGCAACTTCACATTTAGCATAAATATAGAAAGCAAGCATGTTGCATCTATACTATATCATAGACACAACAGCAGTACAATAAAAATAAAATTGGTTGCAGATGTTTTTTGTCCAGCTTTTCACAGCCATCTTACAGATTTCTGATATTTTCTTGCTTTTTGGGGAGGTCAACGGACAACTCGGCAACCTGGGAGTGGAGCTTGTTGAGGAGTAATATTGGACATGTGGATCTGATAGAGAGGGCAGATAAGCAGCAGACAGGCTGGAGCCATCCTTAAACGAGGAAAAGTCTGATGTGTCCCAGTTCGTGCTCTGTTGAACTGAATCTTGTTTTCATGAGACATTATCAACTTATAGGTTAAGGTTTACCTATAAGTTGATGCTGGATGAGGAGCACAGGAGGCATAGTGAGGAGTTCACACAATGGCAAAAAACAAATTAAAGGCCTAGCATTTCTTTGCTTATCACTCGCCTATCATGACAGAGTTTTAAACTGTCATTTAATGCTTAGAAATTATGGCATTTTACTTGGTTTAGTCAAATCTAAGATAAAAACGACTTGAAGTACAATCTCAAGCAATATCAAAAGATGTCGTGCTCAGAACATGTGAATGACTCTCAGCTACCACCACATCAAATTTTAGCTCTTTATCTGCACCACTGAATGAGTTATAGTTGATTTTATGTTGGCTAATATCGATTAGCTGTGGCAGCTGTCTTGAATCTGGTTGACTCCAGAAGTTACCGTACTTGCTGCCGTAAACGTTGCTCCGCCGTATAAGTCGCATCAGTCCAAATATGTCTGATAAAGTGGACAAAAACATAAATAAGTTGCTTTGCCATATAAATCGCATCTATTATGCGTCACCACTGATGCGTTGCGTTTGTTACGCATCACCGCTGACCACCCGGAAATGTGGGCCGGTGTTGTGCCAAAAATCGATTAGCTGCCAAATGGCGGCCACGGGAGTGTGCACGGGAGGACTTTAACAAGAATTAAACAAGATTAACACTTAAAAACAATAATTTTTTTGCTCAAAACTATAGTAAAGCTGTGTCTCAATAGAACTTTTTCTTAATATTGGCGCGGTGAAATGCAGCTGATTTGACGTTTGCTCCAGGAGTTCCGGAGTGAGCCTGTATGGCAAGCCAAGTGTCTCATTAATAGCCACTTTTACCTATTAATGAGACACTTGGCTTGCCATATTACTCGCGGGCCCTCTCGTGGCTGAAAATGGTAACGTTCAATATTTTCCATGTCAGAATGAATGAAATCGTCAGATCTCAGCCAAAAATTTTTATAAATATGGGAAAAAAAAACATAAATACGTCGCTTCGCTGTATAAGTCACAGGCATGCTAATTTATGCAAAAAATGTGACTTATACAGCGAAAAATATGGTAAAGAGTTGTAGATGTGCATCTAATGATTACCTCCTGCAAGTTTTTATTAAAAACTGCCCTGTGGTTCAGATGTTGTTGACAAATGGTTACACACACAGAAACAAGCATGCATTACTGTCCACCTTTGTTTTTCAGCATTGGGCAATAAATATAGACCGTATGGTCATTGGTGTATAAAATGTTTGCAGTAAACAAGTACTTTATACCTGTATAATCAACTTAACTGTTAGTACACAGTAGTTATATTGAGCATAAATAATATAAACTCAGGATGTGAAAAACTATTACTGCATAAAAGTTTGTTTATGAAAAGCCGATTATAGAACTTGCTTTATTTCTGAGCAGATATGTGTAAAGTACTTTCACATTGGAGTTTCTAAGTGAGCAAAGCTAACACACATCACTGTTTCAAATGTTCAGCTTTTGTTGTTTTATGTGTTATAAACCAAATACAGCAGGATGATGAAAAATGTTCAGCTGATATCACGGTGTCACGAGAATACAAAGGTCGAGAAAATGCAGCCGGTTTATGGCTGGGACTTTGCTCTTATTTTCCCACAGCAGGTGAACCGAAGGAGAGATTCTTGTCCAAAACGTTGAGCTGACAGCAGAGAGAGACATCATGTTCAGGTAAGAAAACCGCAAATCTCTTATAAACGGTTTCTCAGCATTTGCGCGACACAAGTAACATTGATTTTTTTTTTTTTTAATAATTCACTTTTTTGTCCTTAAGGGTTTCTATGATTGTGAGCGCTCTGCTGATAGTTGGCATCACAGCTAAGCCTTGGGTATGGATTGCATTACACTTGGTTCAGACCACCTCAAGCATTAAGTTTACATCTTATTAATTTGTATTTTGGATGACCGATATACAAACTTTTCTTTTTTTTAGAATAAAAATGAAGCCGTTGAGGAAAAAGTTGTGTAAGTAATCGCTTCTTTAAACTAACAGTAAAATAAAAATCCAAAACTAAGATTTTATTATTATTATTGCAGGTCCGTAGATGAGAAAGAGAGGCTGTCCTGGGAGGTGGAGCCTCCAGAGGACATGCACGATATTCACTATGACATTGACCCCAGAATGAGAGTTTGGAAGAGCATGAAGGTCCCAAAGGTTGAGGAAGACTGGGATGAGCTGAACCACCCATCAACAAATGAGCTCCGGCTTCAAATCCAGAACACGGACTCTGCTGAAGACGACCAGACAGAGAATTATGTCGTCGAGTACAGACAGGATGCAAAAGATAGAAATTCTATTGACCACGCCGTTTTTTCTGAAGTGATCGCAGAGGAGCCTCAGGACTCTGATGAAGACAACGAGGAAAGAGAAAAGGTGTTGAGATATCTGGCTCCGTTAATGGCTGGACACAAAGTAGATGTGGGTGGAGCTCTCGATCAACCAGACGTGAATGAGGACCAGGTATCATCTGTGGAGATGGAGGCAGTGAGAAGCAACAGAGAGGGAAGAATCCATCTTCAACCAGAGGAAGACATGGACGATCTTTACCACAAAGAAGTCCTCGTTCCAGTCTTTTATCAAGATGACAGTAAAGCTGCTGCTCCTGTTCATATGCCTGCTCAAAGAAAGTACACCGAGCCAGAGGTGGATATGGATGACTTGTACCACAAGTGATCCTGCGACGACTCGACACAAGAGCACGCCAAACATTTCAAACGTCATGTTGTGCATGTAAAGTTCAATCAGAGGCGTCATTTGTATTAAACGATGTGTAATTAATACCAAAACATTAAAATCTGTGTGATTTTTGTTGATAAAAATACTTCGGACATGCTTCGTCAATTTTTTATGTTTTATTCATAAAACAGAACGCCCAGGTAAAAATAAGACTATTTTATGTATTCAAATCATATTTACAGCATTAATTCAATACACATTTTAATTTAACTGTAGATCAAAAGCCTAAGATCAACTTTATTAAGAACTATTCAACAGATTTTATGGTTAAAACAGAAGTCAATTAAAAAGTTGTTCAAGAGAAGCAAAAATTTTTTTCCATTTGTGAAAGTATTATTCTAAGTTGCCATTACTGTACATTCAAAAGTTTAACTGAGCCAGCTCAGCCTCAGCAGAAATAACTCCCTCAGCAGAAATAACTCCCTTCTTCAGGATCAGGTTTCCATAAAGAGCCGTTTCCCTGAGAGTAATAAGAAGCAGAACATATTTAAAGTGCTGTAACTTTTAACAATTACTCACATTTTTAAATATTTAAATGTGTTTTATTGTAGATATCCACAGCTTCAGAAATGTGCTTTATTCATCATCTTTGAAAGCAATGTTTCTGATGATATAATAAAATGGTTTATTATCCTGATTATCACACTCAAAAACACAGATCAGACTTTTCTAGGTCAAGGTTCTTTGTTGTCATTCACATCACATGTGGTACATGAGGTGGAACAAAATTGTGTACACGGGGTCCCAGTTACATTCAACAATAGCAAAAATATAAAGTGTAAAGAAACAGTAAATAGAATCTAAATATGGATAATAGTGAATAAGGATCTAAGATATACACTAAACGAACACCAAACTACAACTTCTTGAAAAACTTCTTGTAAGTTCTACAACTTACAAGAAATATTAACTTACTGAAACATATGAAACCTTAAATAAGAATTCTCGTGTCAAAAAATCCTCTAATTTTTCTCAAGTCTTACAAATAGATATATATCTGTACAAAAATGACCTGCTGAAACAGACTTACGGTACTCACCCAGTTGCCACAACAGCATAGGCCTTCTTGGCTCGTTCATAGAAAGCAAACCTTTCCACTTTCTCAGGCGGAACCTGAAGGTAAATGAAAATGATCTCATAGAAAAGCTAAAAATAATTAAAATCTTCAACCCTAAATATCAAAATCCACACCAACTCGTGTTGTTTTACTCACCGACTTTAAACATTTTGTGGGCATGGTGTCCTACCTGACATCCTGCCTGGCTCAGGAGCTGTGTGTATGTCTTCCATATAGGAACAGCTAAACATTTCCTTTTGTCGATATCCACCAGATCCATGACTGCTGCCTGAAGAAACAAGAAACAAAAAAAACGTGACATTTTAATAGATCCAAACAAAATAATGTTTACATTTTTACTCAGTAATTTTTAGTCCTGTACCGGATTATGGACGTAGGTATCCAAAGGCAACAACTTTAAAATGGCTTCCAAAAGTTGTGGAATTCCCAAACCTACAAATAGATCAGACAGTTTAAACAAAGAGATAATCATACAATAATTTGATATTTGTAGATGAAGTAAGCATATACCATCAGCTCTAATTTCTTTGGGGCCACAAGCACAAATGGAAGATGCAGGGAAATTAGCATCTGCAAGCACTAAAGAGAATTTGAGATGTAAAATAAATATTAAAAAAAAACCTCACAGATTCAACGTGTCAACCCATAACATCATGGTGGTAACTTTGCTCAAAGATCGTATATTATCACAGTTAGCCCTTACAGAACATGTATAAAGGAACAAATCATACCCAGTTCGTCCCCATGGCCCATTTTAGCGAGAACATAAAGCAGATCAGGTGATAAAACCGAGGGGATTCCTTTCAGAACAACCATTCTTACAACCAAAACACCTGAGAGAAATCACTCCACTCACTTCCGTTTTCGTTTTGATTTGGTTCCCCTGCTCCTACAAAACAAAATAAAAATTAGAAAGGCAGGGTTTCGAGCTTTGAGTTAGTTCTTATTGGTCATTACGCTAAAATTTAGGACAGGGACAAAATTTTTATTCATTTTAACGTTCTCACAGACCGAAAGATATGGGAACCGGAAATAGAGATGAAGGAAGATGTTTCCCTGTACTAACTTCCGTCTTCGTTTAATTCGATTCCCCAGTCAGCTACAAAATATCTAAAAGGTAAATAACAAAGATAAATTTGTGTACTGTATTAGTTCATTTTATAATAAAATATTTTAAAGCTAGGATTTAAGGCTTATATTTGTTAACTTACTGACAGGATAGTTGACCGGAAAACCGAAAATTGACGTGATTCAAGAGTTACCCTTCACCAGCTTCCGTCTTCGTTTTGCTCGCAACACCTGCTGGCTATAAAGCGAACGACATAATAGAAAAGCTAAAAATAATTAAAATCTTCAACCCTAAATATCAAAATCCAAACGACATCATGTATTACGATAATCCTTGGCCGTGAATCCGTTTAAGAGCTGCTTCTGTTGCTTTCTTTTTCAGTTATCTGTATGTTATATTGGCAGTTTTAGAAGATATTCATCATACTGCATACTAAAAAAAGACTCATTACCATCCTATATTCTGCACATTTTAAAATATATAAAATATTTAAATAAATCAATAGTGATACTATTTGTTGTGTTTTGTGTTGCCTCACAAATGGTAAGTTTTTAAATAGTAACAACTTTTAAATTAAATAAATTTAGAATTCACTTATTCTGCAAAGTAGAGTGAAAAGACAAGGCCTTGAGAAATGACGGATAGTTATCAATTTAGAAATTGATTGCAGCAAACTTCAAAATAGAAGGTTTAATAATTGTGCAAAGCAGTGATTTAGCTAAATATTTCATGTAGAATCAGTTTGTATTGTTGTCTAACTTTAAATGTGATAATTTAAAAGTTTAATTCAGAATCAAGTGCAATTACAGTTTAGCAAAGTTAATTATCACTTTTTTACACATTCGGGGGGTGTAAGTCAAGACAACCCCTGGATAAAAGTATTTCTGACTTGTTTTCTGATGCCAAGGAAATGAGAAAATGAAAATGTTTATTAGATAAAACTTAATGAACTGCAGGTTTGTTTAATTGAAACCACTTATGAAACATTGTGATGCATGCACAATAACTTATAATACTTGTGAATACTTATGAAACAGTTTTTTAATTGCCTTTTCTTTCCCTTTTGAGTGGGAATGGTTGAAACATAATGATAAAGAATATTTTCCATGACTTCAGAAAGAAGGAAGCATGTAAAAAGACTTTTATATAAGTCAGATTTGTAGACTCATGGGCTGAGGCACTGCTTTTACTATCCACATGCATCTGCTCTTAATAATGAACATTTGTACAAGCCTAATGCTCATAATAATTATGTCACACAGGATGACTATCTTGTATTAATTATCTAATTACAATAAATGACAGAAATTTCATCAAAAATATTTTTGGTACGATTGAATACCTCACTCTTTTATAAGTTAGCTCGTGACTCTTTTTCTCTAGCCTTGAAAATTTAAACAATTGAAAATTATTTTATTGCTGAACATTGACTTAAATTAGTCACACAAACTTAGATAACATCAGCAATGTGATCCCAGCTACAATGTTATTTAAAATATACAAATGAGTGTAGGGAGATGTGATTGTAAGTTGCTAGACCGCAAAAAAAGACCCTTGCAGGAGTCAAGCCTGTCTGCCAAACCACCCCTTCTCCCCCCCTGGACCCATGCTGCTTTCGCTTTATGTTCTTTCTTTAAATAAGTTTATCATGCTATGAAAGTCTGTGCTGCCAAATTGTATCTTTATGCCCCCTTTGTATGCATTTAGAGCCTCATTTGAGTCTACATTTATTATTTTGACCTTTCGGCAGCCTCAAAGAAAAAATCCTTTTCTGGTCCTCTTATTGGAGATTTGTGCTTCCCTGCAGAGTGAGAAGACGAGGGTTTTCATCTTCTTTTAAATGCTTTGTTACAGGGACTGACAAGAGCGCAAGAAGACGGGGACTGCTTAAAAAAAATCAATTAAGCCTTTGTCTTGTGCAGATATGAGGCTCTGCCTTGTGGTGATCTTGGTTCAAAAGAACAAAAATGCTGCCTCCTGATGAATAGAAAGCCACACTAACCAAATTGGTTCTGGTGTTTTATTATTGAAGTAAAAAAGTGTATGGGTTGCACTGGATGTCTTCAAATAACAATATTAATAATCACAATGCCCCAAACTCAATATGCAGATGCAGATATGGCTATTGTTTCATATTAACACAAAAAACTATGCCTTATGATTTGAAAGCATGAAAACTGAAAATTACCATAAAGGGTGATGCCTCACTGTGAATACATGGCAAAAACAGAATTTACCAATTTTTTAAATGTACTAAATCTTCTTATTTGCAATAAGTTTTTCTATGTTATATAATGCTTTTTTATTTATGTGGTTGAAGTTCTCCTTTAAACACTGAATTACGTTCTAATCTTTAAAACAAACAAAACAAAAATCATCATAATCTTGTTTCACAATGAGTTAAACTTTGGTTTATATACTCTGATTTTTTCCCCCCTACTCATTACTAAGTAAACAAAATAACCAAAACAGCAATAAATTTCGTGTTTTTTGTAATCTTCTGAAATTCATAGAGTTACATTGCCCCATCTAGTGGTTCAAATGAGTATCCCTGGATTCTGTGTGCACCTCAAATACATGCGTCTATCAGACATGATAAAAATCTTTTTATAACATTTAATATTTTAATGTTTACAAGACTCATAGTTGTCAAACTTAGCAGGATTTGATCAAATGTATTTATTTAGTAAATCACAGCAAATAGCAAAGGTAAAACCTGGGCGTCACAACATATCGCTCTTCGTCCCGTAGGGTTTGAGTAGACGGGCGGAGTCTGTTCTAACGCTTGTTCGCTCGTGGAACTCGCCCCTGCGGCACAAGCCGCGTCTAGATAGAAACGCACCTGCTTCTGGTGACGTTACAGACCAGATTAGCTGCATCCGTGTTACAAGCTAGTCACCGACCGCTCTGTCAACTGAAGAGCTAGTTGGAGAAGATTTAGGTAAAAAGAATTATTGTTTATTTGATAAACCTTGCAAAGGTCATAGTTTGGCTCATCCGCTGCATTTCAGTGCAGTAGTTTAACGCTATTTCTGTTTTTTTTTTTTTTTCCCAAACTGTTAGACTTTATGTTACCTACTAGCTTAGAAATGCTAGTACTAGATTGCTGCCGCATTTTATCGCTAAGTTACCTTGTGGTTAAAATCTGTAGAAAACATGACAAATATGGACATTTAATTTAAATGAGATATTTGTGGTATAACCTGAAGATTCAATTTTTATCGATGGATTTACTGCTGCAAATCGTGTTTGTTATATTTCACTAACTTCGGTGTGTTTGATGGATGTCAGTTTGGTAGGATAATAAAGCCTTTGCTCTTGTTGTAACCGTTAAGCACTCAAAGTTTAGACGTTTCCACAACAAGAGTATAGCTAAAAACGTTGTTACCCAGGCGGATAAAAGTTGTAGAGAATAGGTAAACATTTCAGCGACAATTAAAGGACTTTTACTCGAATGCTAATTCTGTTTCGTGTCTGAAAAATACTACTTTTATTAACGGGGCAGAGGTAAAACGCGTGTTTTCGTCCGCTTTAATGCAGCCATTGAATGTTGCACCTTTGGCGCCTTCTTAAATCTCTTTGCTCGAGTGATATCGAGTTCGGTGCTGCCCCCTGTGGTCCAGAGTTGTATTACAACAACATTAACCTCAATGGCCGCGTTAGAAACCACATTGATTTTTTTTTTACACTCGTTTTATGTATATTAAGATATCTGCAATCTTTAATACCGATTGTGTCTATCCTGCCTAAAGCTAGTTGTGTAAATTCTTTAGATACTTGTCTCTCGTGCTCATGAATTCATAAAAATCTTTTCCATTTTAACGTCCACATTTTAACTTTGTGTTGCAGCTCAAAATATTGTTTTTATTCATAATTATTTGTTCTTTAGAGAAAATGGCCTCACCATCCCAAGCGGACGATGACGAGGAGGCAGAAGAAGTCCAGTTTATATCAGTAAGTAAAGTTATGTGTACATGCATTGTTTTACTAGTGCGTTGTTAGTTTCATAATATGCCATAATCAATGGTACCTTAATAGGAATGTGTTGCAAGGAGAGAGCCTCCCTTCACTAAATATAGGACATTTAGACCAGCAGAATCAGAGTAAAAAACATTATGACTGACCCCACCCATCTAGTTTAAGAACTATTTGATCCCCTTCTTTCAGGCAGAAGGTATCCAACCTCAAAACAAGGCTTCTTTCCTGAGGCTGTGAGGTTCATGAGCTCAGTCCATTAAGCTGCTCTCTAGACTTTGTTTTAATTAATACAAATAAAAAATAAAAATAAATTCTTTATCTTAGATTAGTTTGAGAAACACATCGGTTTTCCTGTGTCTCATACAAATAAACTTGATTCTAACCATTTTAAATAGCCAAATTATCCATCTGCTGGTAATAACTGGACAAATGTAACTTCATTTTAACTTCTCAGTGTTGTCTGATAATCAGTCTAGATTGCTATTTGGTTAAATTTATTTAAGACTGAAAGTATCGTTTTGTTTCACTGATCCACAAACTATAGATATTGAGTTAAATGAACTGATTTTTCCATATATTATATTAAAAGTTTGTTGCCATTTTTATTTAAATTCATTTAAATTTTAAGTATTAAAGCACAAAGTCTTTTTGTTAAATATTTGATCTGTTTTGCATAACAGTGTTTTGTTCTTTAATCAGGAGGGCCCTCTGAGACCAGTGTTGGACTGTATTGATCTGCTAAGTGACAGTGAAGATGAGGGCTGTTCATCTCTGCCAGTCAAGGTGAGCAGCTAAACAAATATTCAGTTTTAATATTATTTAGTTCTTCTGAAAATGTTGCTTTTATTTTATCTGCAGATTGAAGACAATATCACACGACACAAAGCGCGCGTCACGTCTACACTTGACCGACTGGCCCATAAAGTAGCTCTAGAGAAAAAAGAGAGAGCAAATAAATGTAAAGCATTCAAGGTAAACATTGTTCTGAACATTATTTGTTGCTTTTTACACGTTTTAGTTTTTTAAGAAGTTCATTTATCAATTTACATACATTCAAAGCAAAATCTGATTGTCATAAATCCACATTTATTCAAAAGTATAAAAATAAAAAAGATTCAATTTGCATGTCTGATTATTATGTGATCAATGTTAAGATAAAATTCATTTATCTACAGTTTCCATTTTAACATGTTTATCAATGTAAGTTACATTTCTTCAGTAGAAAATTTGTTGGGGCTAACAAATTGTTCACAGTTGCTTATTTCTGTGTTTTATACTGTAGCATCTAATAATAGAATAGAATCTAATCTAAATCAGAATAATATAATAAACTTAAAAATGCTGAAATAGAGACATATTGTGGATAAACTAAATCACAGTATTCAGTAAATTTAAAACGTGTTTTTAATGCAGATTCTAAAAGTATTATTTAGATCATCCAATTGTGTTACTGTGTTCAATAAAATGAAGTTGAATGAGCAACATTGCCACCTTGTGGTCAGCATAAATAGATAACAAATCATGTTCGGCAATTTTATTGATAAATGAGGCAGCTTGCATCAGTAGAATAAATAACTCCAGCCAACAATGTTGTATTCACCTCCTACAATGTTGGACTGTTTTTCATCTAAGGTTTCTATTTTTGGATTTCTGTTAGTTCTGACTGACTCGTGTCTTTTTGTGTATAAAAGGGCAGCTGCATTTTCTGTCTTGGTTTTCTTTTTGTTTTAGGAAAAACAAATCTTACAAAAAGCTCGCGGACAGCGGGAGCTGGCTGTAAATTCTACAAACGGACTGACTCAGGAAGCAAAGCGCTGCGTGGACATGTGGCTGAAGATGCCCGGTAAACCTTTTCATCTTAATTTCTCCATAATGACTGATTTCCTCAGCAAATGCATTTTCTCAGCACAAGAGAGACCAAAAATTATATAAATCCTGTTTTCTCTAAAATGTAATGTTCTGTATAACTGTTCCAATAAAAGCAGATGTTGTATCAGTAGGCCAACTCGTAAAAATTGAGATACACACTGAGATCTGATGTTTGTTTAGGTGTTAAACCAGGTGGGAACAGTTCTGGTTCAGGCAGAAGACAAAATGCTTCCACTTTCCCTGGAAACAGTTCAACTAGACGCACTTGTCCAGTGATCAACTGCGGTCGTGTTTATGACAACATTCCCCTCCTTGACGGGCACCTAAAAAGGTAATCTCGTTGATATTTGTAGCAAAAAAAGTTTTTTTTAATAGTTTATTTTGATCCATATTGTACAAATATTGAGCACAACAGCTTGTGTGCAGGTTCGATCACTCTCCTTGTGACCCAGCGATCCACCTCAGAGGAAGTCCATCTGAGCTCTTTGCTTGTGTTACTTGTGCCAAACATTTTCAAAGCAAAGAAGACTGGAGAAAACATGTGCAATCAAAAGTTAATATGCTTTTCAATAATAATATTTCTATATAAATAATAAAACATGTTTAAATGACGTGCAGTTGTATGTTTTTGAGCCTGTTGTTTTGATTACAAGGTAAACTCATCGAACACAGATGGGCACAGCATGGATCAGAAATATCAGCGGATTGTTTGTTTCGCATGTCCTGCATGCTACCTTCTCTTCAACCTCAGAGATGAGTGTCTTCAGCACATGTCGGCGAAGAACCACTTCAGTGAATCATTCTCATTTACTGGTAAGGTTTATTCTTTTTGTCCCCTATTTGACATGGTCATAAAAACTTATTAGGTTAATTATAGAGGCGGCTGTAGCTGAGTGGTTAGAGCAGTCGTCCTCTAATGCAAGCGCTGGGGGTTCGACTCCACCAGCATTCACATGCTGAAGTGTCTCTGGGCAAGACACTGAACCCCTCATTGCCTCTGATGTGTGTCCCATGTGATAAAAGCACTGATTAGTCTTTATAGAGGTGTAGTAGAGTTCTGTATGAATGGGTAAATGAGGGCACAGGTTCTAGTTAAAGCACTTTCAGTATCTTGATAAGATAGAAAGGCACTGTATAAGTACAGCCCATTTACTTATTGATAAATGTGTGTGCTCAGTTTTCTATTCATTTTGTACATTTTTGTAAAAATTACAGGATAACAAAAGAGGTGCTGCAAAAATAATTTTGTTTAAACTATTTAATTATTTCATTTATTTATTGTTCTAGTTAAAGAGAGCAAAAGAGCAGCGCAGCCAGTTCCTGTCCCACAACTTGTTAAGAACCACCTCATCGCTTTGTGCAAGGATGTAGCGTTCACTGTCCGGTGCTCTTTGTGCCACAAGGTGCTCATCTCACATCAAGCAGCTCAAGCTCATTTTAAGTAAGTTTATACTAAGATTTGCTCATATAATTAAAAAATGCATGCATGAGTTGTGTAACTGATCTTCAATGTTTTTTCTTATTCGTGTTTGTTTTAGCGTGCAGTGCAGACACGGCTGTGCTGTGGTCAAGGCTGACAAAACAATAGTGGAATTTATGAAACAGCTTTGCGCGTGTGGACAGTGTTGTCTCTGCTCTGAAATCTTCCTCTGCCACGCTGAAATTGAGAGACACAAAGAATCTTTGCAGCATGACGTTGAGGTCACTCAATCGATGGCTAAAGCCCTTCTTCTGTACTGTAGGTTTACTGAAATTCGGCGTACTAAAGAGGCACAGGGGAAAAGGATGTCATATGGCCTTAAGACACCTTTTCAAATGAACAATAAGAGGAGTGAAAGTGGTAGATCTTCAGCTAAACGACAAAAGCTAAGTCCATGCGTGAATGCCAGCAGCAGCAAGAACTCGTTTGTTTGGTTTTGCGAGTGTGGCCTCCAGTTTTCAGAAGAGGCTCCAGCCACGAACCATCTTCTGGCTGCGAACCAGATTTTCTATCAGTGTGGTGTCTGTGGCAAGCACATGGGTGAGTCTTCAATCACCCGCCTGCACATGAGTCGCATCCATGGGGGAGCACATCTCTCCAGCTTCCTGTTTTTCTGCCGAAAGTGCCGTGTGGAAATGCCCCGGTATGAAGATATCATGTCACACGTGTCAGAGGTCCACAGAGGACACACCTACGTCACTGAGAAGGAAGTTCCCTCTGATCTCATGTCTGCTCTTGATGCTAAACCTTCCACTAGCAACAAAGTCGACCTGGTTTCTGTGTCCAAAGCCCAGCGGAACACGATGGGGACATCATCCTCAAACGTGGACCATACGTGGATGTGTAGGATGTGCGAGGACATTTTTGACTCTGAGGCAGAAGTACGCAAGCACTGCAGTGACGTGAACAGCCATAACTTTCAGAGATTTGTCTGTGGACACTGTCCGCAAAAGTTCTTCAAAGAGTCCACTGTTCGGAGACACTGCATGAACGAGCATGGCGGAGAGATAAAGAGTTCCTATTTCTGCGGTCTCTGCGACAGCATGCAGTTTGAATCTGAAGGTGAGTTCATGGAGCATTACAGGAGTCTTCACAGTAAGGATTACTGCTGTATGAATGATGCGGAAGTTGTTCAGACCTCTGCTGCTGAAGGAACCGCTCAGCTGACCTGCTCATGCATGGGTTCAGAAGAAAGCAAGGATGAAATGAAAGCGACATACACTCGCTGCATGAGGAATCTGTCTGCTGAGGGGAGATGTCAGTACGTGTGCGCTCCTTGCTGTGTGTCTGTGCAGTCCTATGCACAGATGAAGACTCACATCCACACAAAACATGCAGCCTTGAACCTGGACAAGACCTTCGAGGTAGAATGCAAAGAGTGTCCGGAGAGTTTTACATGTGTGCCAAGTTTCCATAAACATTATCACTCCCAGCACTGTGTACTGGAACCCTGTGTGAGCTCCAGGATCAGCAGGAAGGACTCGAGCACCGAACCATCCACTGTGAAGATAATCAATGCTTTGGAGATCAAACCAGCTCATGAAGGTAAATCAGTTCAAATTAAAGCCTCTATTGTCTGTGTGTGTATAGGATTTGATTATCTATTTATTATGTACAGAGATTGAAGATGAAAAACTGGTGAAGTTTTTGAAGGACTATCCAGACAACAGTGAGAAAGAAGCATGTGGAGGTAAACAAGCTAACATCGTAGAACCTGTTTGCAGCTTTAATAATGACTCAATACTTGATCTTTAGATTAATCACAATTTGGCCTCTCACAACAATAAATTTTTCTGGGTGATTGATTGTCGCAGAAATTATTGTGATAAACGATAACATTGTTTGAAATTTGACAATAGTTAGTCATTTTCAAATTTAAGAAGAAATGTTTAATTTGTTTTGTGTGTAGTACCTTTTTTCGACCACTTGATGGCAGTATAAGACTAAACCAAAGGATAGATACTATGGGATTGAGCAGCGTGTCTCTAAGGAAAATGAGAGGGAGGCCCCTTGACCTGACATGGGTTGTCTCTTCGGTTCTTAAAATGGCGGACACTCGGTGTGGTTTGAGCTTTTTAGCATAGCATTTTTCACACAAAGCTTTTAATAAAAAATATATTAAACAAGTTCTCAGCAAGTTTTTGCAAAGAAAAACTTTTTACATGAAGGAACAGGTTTCAACTAGTGATGGCGAGATGAAGCTTCATGAAGCACTGAGGCTTTCTATCAAATAGCTAGACTCGATCCGACGCGCCATGGTGCTTAATTTGCTCTACTGCGCCATCACGTGGACTATAAATGCAAAACTGGTAGATGGATTATAATAACATAGCTGGTTTGTGAAGCTTTAAGTTGAATAAAAGGAAAAAAATAAATCATGTTTTTGAGGACCTGAAAGTCTAAATTTGATCTGCAACTGCTCTTAATCTGTCTTTATGATGATGGTGATGATGGATTTTTCTGTCTGCCCCTTATATTTTGAATCTTGCGCATACAAATGAGCCAGTTCCTGAATCGATAACGTGGTACGGCCCGCTAGCAAGGCCTCAAACGCCACTACATGCGTCATCAATACACGCCTCGATACACGCTCCACATAAATCCTCCTGGATTACTCGACACGCTTCGAAGCCTCGACAGAAGGACACATCACTAGTTTCAACTGGATTTTGGAGCTTCGACAAGATGGCGTTTTTTCCCCCCGAGGTCGGCCTGTTAACTTAGCTCGTAGCCTAGCTGCTTTTAACGATACAAAAACGTGGTTTTGGACCGTTA